GCTGTATGGAAAGTGAATTTGCTCTGTATATCTTCACCCAAATCACAATTAAAAATAAATAAATAAATAAATAAAATAAGAAAAATAAGATTGGTGACACAACAGATATATGCACACCCATGTTCACTGCAGCAAATTCACAACAGCAAAAAGAAACCTAAATGCCCATCAACAGATGAATGGATGAATGGATAAACATACAATGGTACTTACACAATAGAATCCTATACAACGAGTTTAAGAAACATCTCAGTGTAGATGAACCTAGAGGACACTATGGTGAGTAAAATTAAAACCCACTGCCATCAAGTTGATTCTGATTCTCAGTGACTGTATAGGAGAGGAGAACTCCCCAAAAGGGTTTCCAAGGGTTATAAATCTTTATGGAAATAGACTTTCTTCCATGTGGCTGTTGGTGAGTTTGAACTGCCAGCCTTTTGGTTAACAGCCAAATGGCTTAACCACTGCACCATCAGAGCTCCTTTGAATGAAATCAGTCAATCACAAAAGAACAAATACTGAATAAGGCCCGTAATGTAAAAAGTCAAGAAAAGATTTCACACAAAAATGAAGTTGCCTGAAATTGCATGTGAAGGTCTAAAATTGCAAAGTGAAGGTATAAAAACATGGAGTTTTGTCCCTTAAAGTAGGGTTTTGCCAGCCTCAGCACTGCTGGCATTTGGGCAGGCCATCTTTGTTGTGGGGGCTGTCCTGGGCACTGCAAGGTATTTAGCAGCATCCCCAGCCTCTACCCACCAGATGCCAATAGCACTACTTAGTTGTGACAATAAAAAGTGTTTCCAAACGTTGCCAAATGTCTCTCTGGGGGAAAAGTCACCCCCAGCTGAAAACCACACTGCCTTAAGGCATGCTGGCTACCTCTCTACGAACACATCCTCCTTTTTCCTATCACTTCACCCACTCCACACAGCCAGAGGATCATAGAACTCTACAAACTTAGAGATTACCCTGTTCTCGTGTTACAGATTAAGATGATGAGTCCAGAGAAGTAAAGGGACTCACCCAGGATCACACAGCTTGTTAGTGACAGAGCTGGGTTTACAAGGCAGGTTTTCTGTCTCCCAGCTCAGTGTTCTATTTCCCATAAGCACCACTGTTCAATAACCTGACATGTGTTGACAGGCTGCTGAGTGCAACACTGAGGCAGCCTTGTAGTGGTGCCATCGCTCTGCACAGAAAGCCCTGGAGGGAGAGAGATAGCGCCAAGGAGGAAAGAGGTTTATTAGGAGTCTCCACGTGCCAAGGAAGCCCAGCATGGTCACAGAAGGGGGAGGTAACATGGGGACAGGGCGACAAGTCAGCATTACAGAACCTCTTGTCAAAAACCAAGTGTGAAAATAAAACCTCCATGTTAATATCTGGAAGGTCAGTACTGTTGCTAAGTTCAGTCCAGGTGAAACTTCCGGAAGCATCTGGTACAGTAACGAGATTCTGCACTCAGGAGAGTTCTCCAGCACTGCTGAATCCGAGCTCCATTTAAGGTCGCAGATCCGGGGTGGGAGAAGAGGAAAAGGCGGTTGGCCTCAGCACCCACTCAAGGTCATCTCAGTGAGTAGGTGAGAAAGGAAAGCATATGTTTCTGGCCGGAGGGCAGGCCGGGACAGGAGAGGGACGCTGGCTGAAGAAGCACGATGTCTGGGCCATCTCTGCCACAAAGTGGAGGACTATGCACAATCTGGTGCGAGTTTATCTCCAGCAGGTCTTGGGCAACACTAGTCCCTTCCTGAGTCCCCTGGATACAGCCATTTTGATTCTGTTCTAATTTCATTTAGAGCAGAACCACTGATGTACAGCATCAAGTCCAGGGTCATCTCAGCTATGGAGTGGCTACCCTATGGAGTGCCCTGTACCTCTTAATCAAGGAGGCTTCCTTTCTGGAGTAGTTACTTTTCTCAGGCTGAGAGCAATCTTGTCCAGTATGGGCCCAATCTAGAAATCACTCCCGCCTTCACATGAGCACCAGGTAGAGGGAGTACTACTCAGGAGTAGTCAAAGCTTTTGATCTCGGCCCCTAGATGAAGGCCCTTGGGCAGAAGGTCAGTCTGCAGCTGGCTGTGCCCAGGTGCTGGTTTCTGTCCCAAGGGGTTCAGGCCCTGCCTATGGATGAAGGGCCCAAGTGAGGTGATGATGTGGCTCTCTCAGAGAAGAGCTCTCTCTTCTTTCACAGGCAAGAAAAGAAGAAATGAGGCTGCTTCCTTTCAGGGTAGCTAATGCCACTCAATTCTTCCATCGAATTTGCTGTGGAAAGAGCAAGGGAATGTCAGTTTTCACTGACCTTTACAGAGCGAGAGATGGAGTACAAATGAAAAAGGATCAGAGAGGGTAGGGAATGAGAAACAAAGGAACATGGAGAAAATATTTAACATGTGTGAGGGTGTCATTTATTCAAAGACAGATTAAACACCCAGTCCATAGCTTATAAGCCTGATTTGGGGGGCTTTTTTTTTTTTCCCCCTGGTTCTGTCCTCCTCTGGGCCAAGCTTAACTAGCTCTGCATGACCCTAAGGTAAGTCTCAAAATAATAGGGAATTAAATGCTTCATATTAACCAAAGGCTCAGCTCTTTCATGGTATGAGAGATGAACCAGCTGAACTCTCTAAAGAGTTAGTCTCTTTCGCCCACTTCTTATTTCCAGCAGGTAAGTTAAATACACTCAAAGGAGACTACAGACTGGACAGTTTGAATCTATAACATTTGCTTTCATACTTCTAATAGTTAGCCCCTCCTACCTGCTAGGTTTAACAATTACCTGAGCATTACAGTTATGTCTCAGCTGGCAGCCCCTAGATTACCTTTACATCATCCCACATCTCAAGAGTAATTTCTGCTGTTCAAAGCTGTGATCTGACCCTTGGGCTACAGAAGAGTTTACACCTATGTGGCTCAGCTAACTGCAGTACCACCAGGGCCTTGGAAACACACCCTGGATGCTACTTTGTGAACTGTCTCCTGAGACTGCTAGTGGGAGAAGTGATAGCTGCTCACCGAGCTGATGAGAATGGCATCAATCTTCTCCTCCTCCGCAGATCCTTTATCTACTTTACTCCTGTATGCTACCAACTGCTGACGATCCTTCAGGTCCCGGTAGGTCTGTTCACCAAAACAAATAATATCAAACCCCCAATCAACCTCCTCTACCAGGCGCTTTTTCTTTTTGTCACTACCACTTCAAGCAAGGTCCTAGGGGAGGCCAAGAAGCTACACTGGGATGACAGTGAGGTCAAGCACCCACAGATTTTTATGTTGGACACACATCATAGAATGTATTTGGCTTGATTCAGTTCTACAAATTCTCTTAAGTGTGACAAATTTATGAAAGCAGAGAGAAACCACTTAAAGGGCAGGAGTACTGGTCTCCAAACTAACTCTTGTCAAATCATTTTATCTGTTAAGTCAGAATTTATGGAAGCATCTCAGGATCTAGGACAGAGAATATAGTAATCTACTCTCCAGTGAGGGTGTTTCAGGGTATCTCATTTCCTGGGAACTCACATCAATGACAACATCATGGCACTTGAACTTAGTGGCCAAGTTCAACTTTGTGTCCACATCTTCCACCAGATTGACATACTCCTGTAATATCTGTAGGAAGAGATACTTCTAATTAATGATTCCCAGAACCATAAAACACAGAGCTCTAAAATGTAGAAAAAAATCCTGAGAAGGTAAAAGAGGTCAATATCCAATAGCTATAATTCCAATCATCAACTCCATTTTTCTCAGATCAAGATGCAATTAAAAAGTAGGCAAAGGCCATGACCATGTATAGGGCTGGAAGACAATGTTTCTACAAGTGTATTTGTATGTTCCGTAAGAATTCCCGGATATATAATAGAGCTGACAAGGGACAAGGTTGCAGTCACAACCAAGTCTGTAGTTGTGGCCACAGCCAGCTACCCAAAGTAAGCAAGTAGTTGGACCTGTGGGCTCAGGACTGTACTCGCAGGAGACATCAAGCTCAATTGGCATAACATACTACACAAAAGCATTGTTCCACAACCTACTTTGGCGAGTAGCGACTGGTATCTTAAAAGCTTGCAAGCAGCCATCTAGAAACAACAATGGGTCTCTCCTCGTCCAGAGCAAAGAAGAATGAAGAAAACCAAAGACACATGGAAACAATTAATCCAAGCAACTGGTACACCATGCAATCCTCAGGCTATATGACTATGAGACCAGAAGAATTAGATGGTGCCCGGCTACCAATGTCAACCACACGGAGGGGATCTATGTAGGAGATCCTGGATAGAATGGGAGAACAATGTGGAATAAAACTAAAATTCATTAAAAAAAAAAAAAAAGGGATCCAGGTTTGCTGGTCTGATAAAGCCTGATGGAACCCCTAGCTGCCTGTCAGGTCTGGAATTGAACCTACTCCTATGGCTTCCAGCCAAACAAAAGACAGGAATATGAGCTGAACATTTACATTAGGTAGATATACTCCTTGGAGAGATCAATCATGGGAGAATAGAAGGGCTGTGTATGCACAGGAAGACAGTTCAGGAAGGCAGGAGCACATGTGAGGGAAGGACACAGGGAAGAGGTAACTATGGGGAGGAAGAAGGAGGGGAGCTATTGCATTGTGGGAAATTGCAGTCAATGTCATGAGACAAAATGTATGTGAGCTGCTGTATGAAAAGTGAATTTGCTCTGTAAACTTTCACCCAAATCACAATTAAAAAAAAAAAAAAAAGTAGGCAAAGGATTTGAATAGATATTTTTCCCAAGAAGATATACAAACAGCCAATAAGCACATAAAAAGGCACTCAAGTCAATAGTCATTAGAGATATGCAAACCAAAACGACAATGAGATACCACGTCCCACCCACTAGGATGGCTATTATCAGGGAAAAAATAAATAATCCAGAAAACAACAAGTGTTGGCAAGAATGTGGAGAAAGTGGAACCCTGTATTACTAGTGGGAATGTAAAGTGGTACAGCTGCTACAGAAAACAGTCTGGTAGTTTCTCTAAAAATAGAACATACAGCTACCATATGACTCAGCAATTCTATTCCTAGAGATCTAAGAGACCTGAAAATGGGGAATCAAACAGATACTTGTACTTGAATGTTAATTACAGCATTATTCATAATTCCCAAGAGGTGGAAATAACCACCTTGATGTTAAGTGTCATGAAGAGATGAATGGATAAACTAAAAGTGGTCTCTCCATAAAATGGCCTATTTTTTAGTCACAAAGAGAAATGAAGTTCTGACACATGCTACAGTATGAATAAACCTTGAAAACATGCTGAGTGAAGTGAGTGAGATGTAAAAGGGCAACTATTGTTATGATCCCACTAACATCAAATATCTAGGATAGGAAAAGGCAAAGAGACAAAACTTTATTAGTGGTTGCCAGGGGTGGGGATTAGGGGTTTTTGGTGCATTACTACTTGAAGGGTTCTGAGTTTGTTTGAGGTGATTAAAAGAAAAACTTTTGAAAACAGATAGTGGTGATGACTACACAACATAAATATAATTAATGTCACTGAGCACTTAAAAATGGTTAACAAAGGCAAATTTTTTTGTTATATGTATTTTACCATAATAAAAATTAAAAGAAGATTCAACAGAAAATGAGGTGGCCCTATGCAGTACTACGGAGTGAAAGAAGAGCTGCAGACATTCCTCTTTACCCTATAGGCAGATACCCCTGCCATAATGGGACGTTCCAGACTGAGCCAGTGCCCTGCCCACACCCCTTTCTCAGTGAGTGCTTCTTTTGTATGATTTGTATAGTCCATCAGTACTCCACATAGGCTATTCAGAACATGCTCTTTGGAGAGGGCAATTTGAGATTACTTTTAAAGGGCAGAGTAGAACTTTCCTTCCTGGTTTCTTCTATCTCAAGGCCCAGTGCAGCCATTAGTTTCCTTTGGGTGAAAACCAAACAGGTCTGGTCTCCTGTCACCGACACTATAGTAAGAAGCTAAAATTAGGGACTTCTTAGAATATCGTACAAGCAACTTTCTGTAGGAGCCATTACCTGAACAGGGGCATTATTCTTGTGCAAAATTTCCACAACTCGATGGAAGCCAATGGGTGCTCTCTTCTTGGTGTAGCCCAGCCAGTTCTGAAAAAGGAACATGGGGTAGCAGTAGCTAGGCAGGATATATCCCACACCCTCAGACTCAGTCATCCTGTTTATGGTCAGACCAAAATGACATGGTGGGAACACAGGGTGGATGAAAGAGAAATGAAGAGAGATGAGTTTTCCAGAGAAGTCAAGGAACTTCAAAGAGTAGAAAAGAGCAAGAGGTATGAAATGAGTTCTCAGATCTATAAGCACAATTTTAGAAAAAAAGTCTGTGAGATACTGTGAAATGGAGTCAGTAGTTTACTTAACAAAATTTCCACTATGAGCTTATCTGTGTAGAAAAACCCTATCTTTCATATCATATATGTATTTGCTGTTATTTGTAAACACATGGGAAAAGGTCTGGAAACTAACTACCAAACTTTTAAGAGCATTTGTCTTGAGGAAAAGGCATGAGATGGGAGCAGGTAGACAATGAAAGAACTTTACTCTTTATACGCTTTTAATGAGTGTTTAGGAGCTCTGATAGCGTACTGCCTAAGGCATTTGACTGCTAACCAGAAGGCTGGTGGTTCAAACCCACCAGCCACTCCTCAGAAGGAAAATGGGGCAATCTACTTCCGTAGTGATACTACCTTGGAAACCCAAGGAGGGGTCACTATGAGTCGGGTCCAACTCAATGGCATATAACAACACAACGTAGAGTGATTTTGATATAGGCATCTATTATCTTGGTAATTAATGTAACTAATTAAATAATTAACAAGAAAAAGAACATTCTTAAACTCATAATGGAAAAAAGAAAAAAGGCATATGTGTGTATATACAGAGTAAAAGCAAAGATGGCAAAAATGCTAACAAATTGGTGAAGCAGTTAAGGAGTATATGGAGGTTGTAGTTGCTAGGTGCTGTCAAATCAATTCCTACTCATAGCAACCCTGTATGACAGAGCAGAGCTACCCCATAGGGTTTCTTAGGCTGTCATCTTCAGAGGAGCAGGTCACCAATTAGCAGCCCAATGCTGAACCACTGTACAACCAGGGCTCACTAAAGAGTATATTTAAGAAAGAAAAACAAAAAACCCACTGCCATCAAGTTGATTCTGACTCACAGTGATCCTATAGGACAGGGTAGAACTGCTCCACAGGGTTTCCAAGGCTGTAAATCTTTACAGAAGCAGACCAGAAGCAGACCGTCTCATCTTTCTCCTGCAGAGCACTTGGTGGGTTTGAACCAGCAACCTTTTGGTTGTCAGTCGAGTACTTTAACCACTGTGCCACCAAGGCTCCTCAATAAGTATAAACGTTCATTATATCATTCTTTCATCTTTTCCGTAAGTTTGAAATTTTTGAATATTAAAAGCTAGAGGAAAAATAGAAACCACTAACTAGAACTTGATAGTCCCTTGAGGCCATTAGATAAAAGGACAATACAATGGCCCTTTTCTTTTTCCCCATGCATGAGCAGCAGGAAACAGTTCCAGGGCACCTACCTTTGTGGTAAAGAGGGCATCTACATCATGCCAGGCACGAAGCTTGGCGCGAGCAGCCAGGGCCGTCAGCACATACTGTTTGTCTGGGATCTAGAATGCAGACACCAAGCGAGGTTAAAGAAAGGAGAAATGAGTAGGGAAGGTGCATGAGAATTCTAGAAAAGATGGGCAAAAACATGGCCTGGTATTGATTCTGCCCCTTAAAACAACACAATTCTTAGGTGACCCTTAATCTCCAAGCCCAAGCATTGCTGCAGGCCATTTAGATGAAGTCTTCTCTCATTTCCTACAAGCTCCTTCTTTCTGCCTTTGTATCAAAGGACTTATTGGGCAAGGTGACAAAGCCACAGCCACTGCACGTAGTTACCCCGATACTAATTTTATCAAAAAACCCGACCAATTGATATCTACCTTAAACGTCTTCTTCAGGTTGATGGGACTGCTGAATGTCCCCTAGAACGAAGGTGGAAAGAAGGAAGTTACTGACTTTCCCAATCTCCTACTTTGACACTATTCAGATTTTCTACATTTCACACCATACTGGCAATTACTTTACGAGAAATGCTCTTTTGGGTCTAATCAGACATTACCATAACTTGGCTGAAAGGGGACTGGGTTGACTTCTATGGTGCTTTCCCCAATTCTCTACTGGATCCAAGTAAGGGGAAATGTCTACTTAAGGCCATCAAATCCAAACTTCTTAGCAACAAACAAAAACACTCAAAAAGAAACTTTACCCACAGCTACCTCACACTGTGTAGCTCCTCTTTTCTACCTTGGTTTTATTTTCTTCTCTAAACTGAGCCAATCCATCTGAAATTAAGTCCCCTGAACAGAGAACACTACGGTAACCAGCACTAGAGACAGAATATGCTATACTAGCATGCCAGCTCACTCAAAGACATGTAAACCCTTACAAACCTCTTTTTCTCTTGACTCTCCCCTGCTGAGGGCCGGAAAGCTTCCAGGTAGAGGTCTAAGAACTAGACACACTCATTTTCACTAAAATACATCAAAATACTGAATTTGAACTACAGTCCTCCTGTGCAAGGAGAACCTACGGGGCCTCACTTTCACACTCTGCCTGTACCTCAGCTTCCGCGTAGTGGTAGAAGCACGAGTAGAAGAGCGTTGTCACTAGTGGCATGTTGAGGATGGAAGCTTTGCGGGGATGCTTCCGGAAGATCTCAGTCTGTCCTGCTGATTCTAGATGTCGATCATTTGCCTGTAGTGGAGTGAGTCATGTAGAAGAAAAAGAATAATGTTCATGGAGGAGATAATGTTCACGGCAGGAGAGACAACTGTAACACTAGCAGTTTCCTTTTCCTCCCAAGGGAAGAGGCAAAGAAGAGAAAAAGAAAGACATCGCTTAGGAGAGCCCAAAAACCTGCTGATGTCTATTCCAACTGATAGTGACCCTACAGCACAGAGCAGAACTGCCACTGAGGGTTTCTAAGGCTGTAATCTTAGGGTTATCAGACTGCCACATCTGTCTCCCATGGAGCAACTGCTGGGTTTGAACCACCAACCTTTTGGTTAGGAGCCAAGCATTTAACCATTGTGCCACCAGGGCTCCTAGGAGGATAGCCCAGAAGAGTTTAAAATCCATAAGATGATGGTGGATCTAAGTTGGATGGAGAAAGACTGGAGAAGTGCTTATGACATGGGAGATCTGGGATGAAGAGTAAACAGTTCCAGGGTAACACCAGGTGAGAAGGAAAACATGCCACAAACAATGGAGAAAGGGGAGCTGTCATGGAAAGGGAGAAAAGCAAAGACTCTGAGGGACTGTAACGGGAAATGACGTACACAAGCAAAGCACAGAAGTCTCCTAGATGCTGAATAGCACTGAGCATTGGTGAGGACTCTAACCTCAATGATGATCTGACGTTCCAGAAGTGTGTAATGGTCTTGTATGTGTGCAGAGTCTTCTGCTGAAAAGGGCAAACTGGCATAGGGCCAGAGAGTTAGTACCTCTTTTGTACTCAAAGGGGAAACAAACTCTTCTAAACCAAACCACCACTGAAAGCTTAAGAGGCTCATGGTGGTTCACAAATCTGATCTCCATTCACTGTTAGAGCATCCCTGAAAGGCAGAGAGATGGGGCAGGCGATAGAGTAGACGTTGGTCTTGGACTTTGTGTTTAAGATGTCATCAATTTCATTGGGATCCTGAAGGATTATAAATATATGTAGCATCAGTGATTTTGCTGAGGCATGACTTAGAGTCCTCTCATTCAGGGAGCTGGAGTGTTTGGTGAAACGGTTACATAGCTAATGAGTGAGGCCAGCCAAGTGCCCATCATCCAGATTCCAGTGAAGCTCTATTATTCAAGTCACTGCTTATGAAGGAACTCTCACTTACATTTGTCAGCCATTTTTTATTGGAGAGTAATAAAGGTAAATGAAATTAATTACAATTAATTAAAATTACATTTGTACATTGACAACGATCTACACAAATGCCAAGGGTCCCATCTTCAACATTATAGCATGTTTTTATAAATGAAGTTGAGGAACAAATAATGTCTTACCTACAAGTCATATTGTAAGTCAATGGGTAAGCCCAGGAAGAGAACAGATGTTCAACTTCCAGTTCACAGATCTATCCTTTAGAAAGTGCTGCCTTATTCCCTTATTCCATTCACTCCAGGGAGACTTCTGAAATTCAACTATACTATCCTAGACTGGCGGGAGCTCTGGTACCATAGTGCCTAAGGCACTTGACTGCTAACCAGAAGGCTGGCGGTTCAAACCCCGGTTCAAACCCACCAGCCACTCCTTGGAAGGAAGGTTGGGCAATCCTACTTCTGTAGTGATACCGCCTCGGAAACCCAAGGAGGGGTCGCTATGAGTCGCGGCCAACTCGATGGCACATAACAACAACAACAACATCCTAGACTGGCTGTTCAAACCCATCAGCCACTCCTCGGAAGGAAGATGGGGCAATCTACTGTCATAGTGATACTGCCTTGGAAACCCAAGGAGGGGTTGCTGTGAGTTGGATCCGACTCGAGGGCACATAACAACAACAAAAAAATCCTAGACAAGTGTAATCCACAGCCAGTTTTTATAAGAGATAAAGGGAGAAAATAGTAGGTTCCAGTTACTTCACTATTCTAACTTGTCTTTTTTTCCTCAGAAGCCACATGATATATCATCAGTGTGATGGTTATGTTTGTACGTCAGCTTGGCTAGGCCTGGTTGAGTGGCTCGGCAGGTGGATGTAGTATTCCCCACAATGAGACTGGTAATCAACTCCATGGTGGAATCTACTGGGAGCAGCTGAGTAGCTGCCTTTGGGTATGTAGTCTGCTTCCTGGATATAAGAAGCAGCTTCGAGAATGGTCTCTAGCCTACGGCACACTTGGACCCTGCATGTAGCTGTGTCATTGCTCAGCAGCCTGCTATGCTCTACCGACCTTGAGACTTACAATGGACTTAAGTTAATGGCCTGCCATGTGGTTTGGTAATCAGGACTGTGCCTTTTTACTTGTCAACCTTGGGGCTTCTCAGCCTCAGCAGCCAGCAGCTGTCTGAGTGAAGACACGCCTCTAGCTCCAGTGGGCCATGAGCAGGAGGCAGAGCTGGACCCCAAGGTTGAGGGGCTTTCACCCAGCCCCTAGAGCTTGGCACTTTGAACTTGGACTTAAAGCCTCCAACTTGTAAGAATAAACTCCTGTTAAGGTTATCCCATTTGTGGTATATGTTCTAGTCAAAGCGGCACTAGGTAACCAGAACAATCAGTATTTGCTAACATGAGAATTAAGGATTTCACTGACATAGACAAATATCCAAATGTGAAGCCTGGGATTCATGTCACATGAAGAATGACTGAAATAACTGTGAACGCTGAACTTGGAGAAGCAAGGTCTACTGGATAGAATCCATTTGTTGTTGTTGCTATGTGCCATCCAGTCAGACCCAACTCATAGCGATCCCTCCTTGGGTTTCCGAGGCAGTATCACTACGGAAGTAGATTGCCCAACCTTCCTTCCGAGGAGTAGCTGGTGGGTTTGAACCGCTAGCCTTCTGGTTAGCAGTCAAGTGCCTTAGGCACTATGCTACCAGAACTATAGCTACTTTCAAATACTGACATGTAGAAGAGAACCTGGATTTGTTCGCATCAATAAAGAGGGTAGGTGAAAGATAAAAGAAGTAAGTTTCAGCTCTATATAATGAAGCACTTTCCAATAATGAAGGTTGTTGAATAATAAAAAGAGCTTCTAAGAGCACTGAGCTCCCCATCACTGGAAGAATACTGCATGGGACTAGGTTTTACAGGGATTCATATTCTGGATAAAAGCTTGCACTGGATTAGTGGTTCTTGGACTTTGAGATTTCAAGGACCAGTAACACTGGAAAACATACGGTCCATAAAAAAAAAAAAAAAAAAAAAGGTGCAGAAAAGTGTTGTAAAAGTTTTAATTTTATTATGTAAGATCTTTAAAAAAGTTACAACCTATTTTACTACCAAAAAGTAGAGGGAAAAATCCAATAAAAGATGGTCTTTTTAATTAAATAAAATAAATTTAGCTTTATGAAAACTCTGGGGACTGGCAGTTGGGAACATGAGACAATCCTTAGTGATGACTTATAACTAATTATTAGCCTTTACCTTCAAATATCTACCCACTCTACCCTCCCCTATTCTCTCTATTCTTTCTGTATAAAGGCATTTATACACAAACTCATCTCTCTACTACACTTACCCAATGCATGTCTTAAGAAATTCTTTTCGTTTCTCAGGGTCTTGAATGTTCAAGTGCTCTCGATAATGAGATAGCTACAAAAAACAGAGAAGGGCTTTGAGCTATTTCGTCTCCTTAGAAGGGGGAGGTAGCTCAGTAAGTGAACTTGCCAAGCTTAAAACCAAATTCCTTATCTTTCAAGAGTCCTTCTGGATGTGAGTGGGTGGATATGGATGTGGGTGTACTGAAAGTGTGGAACAAAGTGATTCAAAACCATAAATAAATTTATCTAAAACTGTACTGTCCAATATGGTAGCCATGAGCCACATGTGGACAGCTGGACAACGAGTAAGGAAGACCAAAGAAGAGGTAATGCTTTTGAGCTGTGGTGTTGGTGAAGAATACTTAAAGCACCATGGACTGCTAAAAGAACTAACAGATCTGTCCTGGAAGAAGGGCAGCCAGACTGCTCGTTGGAAATGAGAATGGCCAGACTTTATCTCACCTACTTTGGTCATATTGTCTGAAGGGACCATTCCCTGGAGAAGGATGTTATGCTTGGTAAATTGGAGGGTCAACAAAAAAGGGGAAGGCCCTCAACAAGATGGACTGGCACAGTGGCTGCAATGATGGGCTCAGGTATAATAAGCATCATGGGGCTCGCACAGGACCAGGGAGTATTTCGATCTGCTGTACATAGGGTCGCTATGAGTCAGGGATGACTCGATGGCACTTAACAACAACAGCAGCAGCCACATGTGGCTGTTTGAATATAAATTCATCAAATTAAATAAAATTAAAGTTTAGTTTCTTAAGGCACTTGACTGCTAACCAGAAAGCTGGCAGTTCAACCCACCACCCACCCCTTGGAAGGAAGGTTGGGCAATCTACTTCCATAGTGATACTGCCTCAGAAACCCAAGGACGGCTTGCTATGAGTCAGGGCTGACTTAATGGCACATAACAACAACAGCTGCACTTGTCACTTTCAAGTACTCAATAGCTATATGTAGTTATTGAAGCTTTATGTAGCTAGAGGCCAGTATAGAAATAGAGTATTCCTGTCAACACACAGAGCTCTGCTGAGCAGTGCTGATCTATAATGAGGCACTGACAGTGGCACACAAGTTCATAGAATATCTAGCCTTACTCTGAAGTTTGGGAATAAATTAAATGTAGACTAGCAGCTTTGCCACTTCCAAAGTACAGAAGCTTGGGAAACTCCAAATTCAGATATACCAGGATCCGTGACAAATTATCTTTAATTCAAGCACAATGAAGAGTAACAGAAAAATCAAAAAAGTTTTAAGTAACAATGAGGTACCCAAAACACATTAATCCTCACTAACTGAACTCCAAAACAGCAAACTACAAGAATGCTATACAAAGAAAAGTCCTTATAGTTTTGAATCTATGGAGATTAAAAATTTAAACAAAAAGCTTTTGAAAATGAATACTACAGACAATTACCTTCAGTAGAGTAAGATAAAGGATTCTTGAGATTTTCTCATGCCTCAAATCTTAGGTATAAACTTCTTTTTAGAAAACATTTTCCTGAGTTCTATTCTGCTATGCAAAGAAGATTAACACTATTATTAAATGTGCAGGCTGAATCTTAGAATCAATATCACACAAAAATGTGTGGCATGGCCACATGTGACACTGTCTTGCCAATGGTGGAGGTGAGAAATTCTTGTACTTGCACTGTAGTATCAGTCTTTAAAAAAAGGATCACTGGGAATGACAATAATCTCTGAAAAAGAGACTTTAAGTCCAAATCCATAGTTAAAGAAAACAACATTATATAATGATTAAATGGTCAATCCACCAAGAGGACATAACCATAATAAATATTTATGCACCTAATGACAAAGCTCTAAAATACATAAACCCTAACAAAACTGAAAAAAGAAACCAACAGTGCTACAATAAAAATAAGAGACTTTAACACACCATTTTTGACAATGCACAGAACAACTAGAAAAAAAACAGCAAAGATAGAAAAGCTCTCAAATGTTCATAGAAGTATTATTCACAACAGCAAAAAGATGGAAACATCGCAAGTACCCATCAATAGAAGAATGGATAAACAAATTATGGTACATACACACAGTGGAATACTATGCAACATTAAAGAATAATGACGCATCTGCAAAATACTTCCTAACATATATAAGGGAGCTCTGGTAGCATAGTGCCTAAGGCGCTTGACTGCTAACTAGAAGGCTGGCAGTTCAAACCCACCAGCCACTCCTCAGAAGGAAGGTTGGGCAATCCTACTTCCGTAGTGATACTGCCTCGGAAACCCAAGGAAGGGTCGCTATGAGTCGGGGCCGACTCGACGGCACATAACAACAACAACAACAACATATATGAACCTGCAGGACATTATAGTAAGTGAAATTAGGCAAACACAAAAGGATAAATATTGTATAAGACCATTGCTATAAAAAAAAATCAAGAAAAGTTTTATACACAGAATAAAGGTATATTGAAGGCTACCAGGGATAGGAGGGGAAGGAAGGGTAGATCTCTAGCTAGAGGGTAGACACATTACCTTGGGTGAAGGGAAAGGCAATATACAATAAAGGGGAAGTCAGCACAAAATGATCAAGGCAGAGGAAGACACTGGGAGGAGCACAGGAGTTAAACCAACAAGGTAAATACTATTACATGCACAATCCTGCAGTAACAGTAACAACAATTATCTACGGGTGGATACACAGACACAAGCTGAAGAAGAATGGGAAGGCAAATGGGACTATATTCCCAAATACATAATAGGTTTGACAGAAGATTCTTCTACATATGTATTTTTATGTGCTGCAAATATATGCATGAATACAGTAAAGCATACAGAGGGCAAAGTTATGAAAACTTCTTAACTATAACCAAAGACCTTGAAGGAATGAGTCACTGGGCCTGGGGGCTCAGCATCATAGTCTTGGGGGGACATCAAGGTCAACTGGCAATATACAGTCCACAAAGAAAATGTTCCACCTTCTACTTTGGTGAGTAGCGAATAGGGTCTTAAAAGCTTGTGAGTGACCATCTAAGATACAACTATTGGTCTCTCCCTTTCTAAAGCAAAGACTGAAGAAAATCAAAGACACAAGGAAACAATTATTTCAAGGGACTAATGGACCATGCAAACCCAAGGCTTATGACCCTGAGATGAAAACTAGATGGTACCTGGTTACCACTGCTTATTGCTTCCAAAGGGATCACAATAGGATGTCCTGGATACAGTAGGACAGAAATGTGGAACAATACTCAAAATTATAAAAAAGACCACATTTACTCATCTGAGAGAGACTAGTGGAACCTCAGACTATGGCCCTTAGATACCCTTCAAGCCTGGAACTGAACTCACCTCCATGGCTCAACTTTCAGTCAAACAAGAGACAGGTTTATAAGGTGAACAATAACACAAGGCAGGAACACACTCCCTATAACAACCAACCATACGAGATCAAAAAGGCAGCATTTGCCCAAGTATACAGCTCAGAAGGCAGGAAAGGACAGGAAAGAAAGAGCAATGGAAATGGTAACCACAGGGAGGAATGAAAAGAGAGCTGTTACATTGTGGGGACTGCAATCACTGACACAAATCAAAATGTGCATGAATTGTTGTATGGAAAAACAATTTTTCTGTAAACCTTCACCCAATTTGTTCTGTAAACTTTCACCCAAATCACAATAAAAAGTGTGTGTGTGTGTGTGTGTATAAAACAGAAGATCTAAATAACACAACCAACCATTTTGATTTCACAGACATACAGAACATGCCAACCAACAATAGCATAGCACACATTCTTCTCCAACACACATGGATCATTCTCCAGAAAGATCATATATTAGGCCACAAAGCAAGTCTCAATAAATTCAAAAACATCAAAATAATTCAAAGCATCTTCTCTGATCAAAATGGTATAAAACTAGAAATCAATAAAAGAAATAACAAGGGGAGGCGGGGCAAGATGGCGGACTAGGCAGAAGGATTGCACAGACCCTCTTCAACAAAGAAAAGGGA